TGCACCCACACATTCTCATTTGCTAGAGGTCATTTTTTTAATAGATGCTGGCTATGAGGGTCAGTTTGTTTTCCCAGAGTCCTCTGCTCTCTGCACAAACCCCCAGCGGGGAATGAGTTGCTGCCCCCAATCAAACACCGCTCGAGCAATTTACCCTTCACCTGGACTGCATACTAACAGTCTGTGTACACCGAACCATTCCATGCATCAGTCGTCTCCTTCCCGGTTAGTTTTGCTCAACTAACGAGTTTGAGTTTAACTAGATGGTTGTAGGCATAAACACCTGGTGCATGGCCAATAGCGCTTGGAGGCTCAAAATAATATGGGTTATTTGAGTACATGATTGTGCATGCTTCTTTTTTTAACGCTCTCACTTGTGTGTTTGTGTGTGTCTCTCCAGGATCTGGGGAGCGAAGACCTGAAGAGGGAGAAAATCAGCTTTGTTTGTCAGATCGTTCGAGTGGGCCGCATGGAGCTCAGAGATAACAACACTAAGAAATTATTATTTGAGTACATGATTGTGCATGCTTCTTTTTTTAACGCTCTCACTTGTGTGTTTGTGTGTGTCTCTCCAGGATCTGGGGAGCGAAGACCTGAAGAGGGAGAAAATCAGCTTTGTTTGTCAGATCGTTCGAGTGGGCCGCATGGAGCTCAGAGATAACAACACTAAGAAATTAACGTCTGGCCTCCGCAGACCCTTCGGCGTGGCAGGTAGAGCATAACACTTGATGCACACTTAGCATTGTCACCATAGTGTCCATCAAAATACCACCAGGAATTTGAATTGATGCATTTGGCAGATGTTTATATCCAAAGTGATTTTAAATGACCTGTTCATCTACAGGGACACCAACCATGCATCCATTGTTACTACTGTAAGCCTGTATGAATGGGATATTTTTTATTAGATAAAATTAAATTTAACATCGACTAAATTCAGAATTTCAGAATTCAAAAACAGAATTTGTTTTTGATGATATTTATATTTTTTATTTATATTAATTTTTTTTATTAGATTTTATTGTTACTATTGTAAACTTATAAGAATGAGCTATTTCATTAGAAATTATTTAACATATTCACTAAATTCAGACTTTATGAGTTTGTTTGTTTTTGTTGTTATTTCTATTTTACTTAATTTAATTTTTTATTTTAATTTTATTGTATTTTATATTTATAATTTTTTTATTTCTTACTACTATGAACCTATAAGAATGAGATGTTTTTATTAGATATAATAAAAAAAGATATAAATATATATGTATTTATATTAGATATAATTAAATTTAACATATTCACTAAATTCAGACATTCTGTTTGTTTGTTGATTTATTTTATTTTATTTTATTTTATTTACAATGACAGGTAATACTGAGTTGCCACAGTTTGGGCTGTAAAATGTAAGGATCTTTATCTTGTTTTAAATTGTGGGTAGCAGGTGTTTTGTCTTGATCAGTATTTTTATTTGTCAGATTTATTTGAGTGATTGCATACACCTTCAAATACAATTGTTCAAGCCTTGTGTGAAATCAGCTGGAAAAATATATTGCATATAAGCTGTGCTATATGCAGTACAAAAGTTGACACAACAATCTCTCTGCATTCATACATTTATAATGCATTTAAAACAAACATGGCCTTTGCATTGATTTTGTCTAC